AGAAGTATAGGGTGTATAGGAGTGAGTGGTATGCAGGAGGGAGAGAAGTATAGGGTGTATAGGAGTCAGTGGTATATAGGACGGGGAGAAGTATAGGGTGTATAGGGGTGAGTGGTATACAGGACGGAGAGAAGTATAAGGTGTATAGGAGTCAGTGGTATACAGGACAGAGAGAAGTATAGGGTGTATAGGAGTCACTGGTATACAGGATGGAGAGAAGTATAAGGTGTATAGGAGTCAGTGGTATACAGGACGGAGAGAAGTATAAGGTGTATAGGAGTCAGTGGTATACAGGACGAAGAGAAGTATAGGGTGTATAGGAGTCAGTGGTATACAAGACGGAGAGAAGTATAGGGTGTATAGGGGTCAGTGGTATACAGGACGGAGAGAAGTAGAAGGTTTATAGGAGTCAGTGGTATACAAGACGGAGAGAATTATAGGGTGTATAGGAGTCAGTGGTATACAGGTCGGAGAGAAGTATAAGGTGTGTTGGAGTCAGTGGTGTACAAGACGGAGAAACGTATAGGGTGTATAGGAGTCAGTGGTTTACAGGACTGAGAGAAGTATAGGGTGTATAGGAGTCAGTGGCATACAGGACGGAGAGAAGTATAGGGGGTATAGGAGTCAGTGGCATACAGGACGGAGAGAAGTATAGGGGGTATAGGAGTCAGTGGCATACAGGACGGAGAGAAGTATAGGGGGTATAGGAGTCAGTGGCATACAGGACGGAGAGAAGTATAGGGTGGATAGGGGTCAGTGGCATACAGGACGGGGAGAAGTATAGGGTGTATAGGGGTGAGTGGTATACAGGACGGAGAGAAGTAGAAGGTGTATAGGAGTAAGTGGTATACAGGACGGAGAGAAGTAAAGGGTGAATAGGAGTCAGTGGTATACAGGACAGAGAGAAGTATAAGGTGAATAGGAGTCAGTGGTATGCAGGACGGAGATAAGTATAGGGTGTATAGGAGTCAGTGGTATATAGGACGGAGAGAAGTATAGGGTGTATAGGAGTCAGTGGGAGGGAGAGAAGTATAGGGTGTATAGGAGTCAGTGGCATACAGGACGGAGAGAAGTATAGGGGGTATAGGAGTCAGTGGCATACAGGACGGAGAGAAGTATAGGGGGTATAGGAGTCAGTGGCATACAGGACGGAGAGAAGTATAGGGTGTATAGCAGTTAGTGGTATACAGGACGGAGAGGAGTATAAGGTGTATAGGAGTCAGTGGTTTACAGGACTGAGAGAAGTATAGGGTGTATAGGAGTCAGTGGCATACAGGACGGAGAGAAGTATAGGGTGTATAGCAGTTAGTGGTATACAGGACGGAGAGGAGTATAAGGTGTATAGGAGTCAGTGGTTTACAGGACTGAGAGAAGTATAGGGTGTATAGGAGTCAGTGGGATACAGAACGGAGAGAAGTATAGGGCGTATAGGGGTCAGTGGCATACAGGACGGAGAGAAGTATAGGGGGTATAGGAGTCAGTGGCATACAGGACGGAGAGAAGTATAGGGGGTATAGGAGTCAGTGGCATACAGGACGGAGAGAAGTATAGGGTGTATAGTGGTTAGTGGTATACAGGACGGAGAGAAGTATAAGGTGTATAGGAGTCAGTGGTTTACAGGACTGAGAGAAGTATAAGGTGTATAGGAGTCAGTGGTATACAGAACGGAGAGAAGTATAGGGTGTATAGGGGTCAGTGGCATACAGGACGGAGAGAAGTATAGGGTGTATAGGAGTCAGTGGCATACAGGACGGAAAGAAGCATAAGGTTTATAGGAGTCAGTGGTATCATTGGTTTCAAGTCCAAAAGAATCGTCGTAGCCAATATATTTCCTGTTATCTCAAGTTAGCAATTCCTCGATAAAACTGAAAATTGTATTGTCGAAATTTTCAGAGTTTTCGTGTCCAGTTCTGATGGATTCTTCAATAAATCCTCAATAAATTATCAAGCTGACTGTAGACATCCCTATTGGACAAACTGTGCCCATAGGGATGTCTACAGTCAGCTGGGTTATCATTCCAACGAACTCGACATAGATATTCTCAACCAGAAACTTAAACATTCCCAAACTCTCATCTGCAGTATAGTTCGTCTTGGCCTTTATTGTGTTTTCACAAAAGCTTGCTCCTAAATAATCTTCACTTATATATCCAGATTCGAAATCTATTATTCTAATTATGCATTGCGAACTAGAAAGCCAAGCACAGTCTATGTAAAAAGTGTTTACACGAGAGACCACAATGTTTTAAAATACCTCTGCTTGAGTATTTTCATCATGGCAACCTATGATAATGAATTTATCATGCCCACGATAGGTGGTATACATTACATTTTTAGCATATAGATGATGAAGATTATTATTACATAGTATTTTCAGGGTTTGTTTTAGAACAGTCGCCTCTTAATTTTATCCACGTGCGAGCAATGAGAAAAGTGTTCCATTGACACACACTGAACACTGTAAAAAACGGTAAAATGTAACACGATTCAAGTACGTGGTATAAAGTAGTATATAGACCATTATGAGTCTTCTTAGGATGATGTGCATATTGCACGTCAAATCTGTAAAAGTGAACTGGATGCACAAAGACAGCATTTCACAACTATTTCTTTCGGCCTCTTTTTTAAAATGCTCAGTTATTAAATTGCCCTGATTGCATCTCTTTATAAATTCATGTTTAGACGAGTGAAAAAAAGCAGAAGAATTTCGGGGGTTGTTGTATTTTTACTGTAAATCACCTGTTCATCGAAAGATAGTTGGTATGCCTTACCCACACAAACGCGGGTTATCTACGGGTTAATTAAATGTCTGACATAAGCGTTATTGAACACTGGACAGGATCTAGGTCGTCAGACAGAATACGCGGTTAACCAATTAATTGTTGACAACCCTAATCAAATACATTTACAAATGGAAACTATATTACAGACAATGGTGCAAGAGATCACAATAGTGATTGAATTAATCAATTTAGGCTTAACCTAGAATGACCAATAAAGTCATTTGGCTTATTTTCAATCGGGTTTCCTAGATCCAAATTAATGAGTTTTGAAAAGGAAGAGACTGGATAATAGTAACTATAATTTTAATAATAATATATATAGGATCTTACATGAGTTTCCATTTCATATGAGATTTATGAAACGAGTCATAGAATAGAAGTGCGGAAGTCTATGACGTCATTTACTTGACCTAAGCGTGACGTCACAATTGAAACAATTGAAACTTTCAACCAATCACAGAGCTGAAAGGTCACATTACATGTATGACATGGGTATATTCACTGGATAACACAGTACATTATGTGATAAATGACTTAACGTTTTTATCTTTTTTTACTATTACTTTACACAATTTACATATGACTTGGAATTATGAGTAGGAAAATCAACATTACTTTGAATGCGATATATTTAAGGGCAAAATTGCAATATTTGGCGAAACATTCCACGTCAGGGGAAACGGCAACATGTGTTCCTTAGTTCGGTAAGCTGGTCATTAATATCGAATAGTAGTGACTTTGTTAAGTTATCTCCTACGACGTAAAACGTGATGATACAAAATCAATTGAAATTAAAAAAATAAAAAATATACTGAATATACACTTTCCATGTTCTAACCATAAAATACGAGTAGATGCTGGCATTAAACATGCAATAAATAACGGAATATTTTAACATATACTTCAATATAGGATGACATAGAGTGCGGTGTATGATGCTATAAAAACAAATAGCATACTATTAACACCATTTCTGGTTGACGCACTACAGTTATAACTACCTGTAGTTTTCACTTTATATGAACGTTTAACAGTCGCTGTCCTCATTACGCACCGACCCTGACGTCATCAGAGTTAGGGTACGTGTCCACCGACTATACAACATACATATTGCAGCATAACACATTTTCTCTTGTTTGTGCTCCCAATTGACGATCAACAGTTCTTTATTCTTGTCCTTTCGCCATTTATCCCTGACATGACAAGGCAACAACCCATTAATTGATGCAAGGTAATTTGAAGTACACTTCCCCGCGAATTGATGTTAGGTAACTTGTACATATCTCTAGTTTTTCTGTGCGTTTTTCCGGATCTAAGTCAGAGAATGCCTAAACCGTACAGGCTATACATATATCTATATATCAAACTTTCGTTTGAAAGTGAAAGACTTAAAAACGGAAATTAATGAAAAAAATATATATTGGAAGCTGAAGGATGAAATAATGAGATTTAAGAATTATTCAATCTGTTCCTGTGCGAGCAAAAACAACTTGAGTTGGCATTATTCATACATCATAAGTTAAGCTTAAACATATACTAAAATAAATAATCATATTTTAAGAAGTTAATTACTAACCAAAATCCCCTACTCATGATTTAAGGACATGATTAAGTAAATAATCCAAATATTATGAAAGTAACCATGACTACCGATGCTAAATGACTATTATTATGTCTCTGTTTAGGTCTGTTAAGTAGGAGATGATAGGGGGGTAATCATGCTCCGTGTTAACATCTGTGCGGTACACATACATCACAGCTAAGGATCCCTGACAGTACGGACGTCACCACACACCGGCAATCATGGTCCTAGGCAAGCCAAAGGTAGGTACAGGTTTTTTTAATACATATATTTATTTTGTTTCTTTTGAAAAGAGATAATTGACGTTAAGTCATAATATGTAAACTGATAAAATAGTGCCCCTATTACTTTCATGATACGCTTGTATAGGCTATAATCACCCTAAGTTTTCACTATTACAGAAATATATATCCTGAGTCTAGACAAATTTATTTTATGTTTTTAAAAAAAAAAATCAATTCGTTCGTCGAAACTTTGTTTTTCTAAAATCATCGTCAAAATACAGCACAATAAACAATTTCTTTATTCAAGTGCTAATAGGTAGACTTTGATATATTTAAATAGAATATAATGTAATTTGATAAAACTGAAAAGTTCTTGGAAAAAGAAACGGGTGCATTTCATTCAATGTTCTTAAGGTTACTTGCTTGTATACACTAATATGTCCATTAAAGCAAGAAAAGATACAACAACTCCGGCAAACATGAAGTAATATACATGTACCAAGCCATGATAACACAGGATGGAGGATACTCTTTAAGATGAGAAATGCATATATTTCGATAAAATGTTTGAAATACCTGCTTTAAAATGATTGCAAATGTCATATTTGAAACCACTTTATAACAGTCGATAGGGCGTTGAATCCTCCCATTCAAACCCATTCAAACAGATAGTTGATTACCACTGTTGTTTCTAAGATATCAGTACAAGCCTCTGAACATAAGTGCATGTGTAATGATATAAACACCTACAATGTATAGTCTTATATCATAAACTTTCTGCCACATACCATTAGTTCCAGCAGTTTTGTTCACAGGCATCCTCAGCGACCGACAAGGTATCATCTATCCTGTCGTTTGGCAGTACTAGTACTGATATGCATTTACAAACCAAAACTACAGGTACGTAGGACACATCTCGGACATCTCCGGATTAGAAATACAAGTTTAGAATTTGATCTGTTCAGAATTCGCGCAAATAATCGCCGAATAAATCAACGACTTATTTCGGACATCATCGACGAAGTAACGGATACGTTAATCTATATTTTCTGTAAAGTGTGTGACTTCATATCCTAGATTTGCTTAACTGTTAAAGTCTTCAATTAATAAATAATTTTGTTTGTAGGTATTTGTCGACATGGCATCCTTACTGACGCAGGGAAGAAGTATCAGCTTACCAGAATGCTCTGTCTCACCATTTTCCCTATCGTACTGTTGTGGAGCTTCACAGCTTTTACTCTAACCGAATCTATCAATGAGAAATCCACCGCCGAACAGGTAAGTTTTTATATGAAAAAATAAACCAAGTATACATAAGTTAGCGGCATTCTAAACTTAGCGCTTATGGCGTTTTAAATATTGCGGTAAATCATGATTGTGCGGATTAAAATGTTATTGCAAATAGCTTTCTATTGCTTGTATAGACAGTACGTCAATTCATCAGTGCGCTATTTAAGGCAAATTCATTTAACAACATCAAGTTTAATACTTATATATAGATATTAAAGTATTACTATATATAGTACAAAGTAATTATTTATGGATAAATAAAATTATAAATGATATTGTTTATTCCATTTCTTTTGCTTGTTAAAGCATGTCATATCATACTTACCAGCAACGTATTAACTAATGCTTTTCTGAGTAAATAGTAAAATGAAATAACTTAAGAAGATTTAAATTATTCACTTGAAAAATGCTAGTTTTCCAACCGGTATAATTATTATCTCAATAACTTAATTCGAAAAATCTGACGAAATATGTGTTATATAATAAAATCAACCTTAGAAGACCGCGTCTTTATCTAGTAACACTATGGTATACTATCTGCAAATTGTGTTTTAACTTATATTGAACGGTTAATAAAACTTCCTCAATTTTTCATCATGTTTGTATTAAGTGGTCGATAGACTGGTTTACCTTCTATACTACTCTACCATGGTGTGTATGGTGTGTGTATCATATACTAATCGATCAGGATATTTGGTCTGTTTTGTAGAACATGCAACAGTTGCAGTTTACGACTGAATTAGGACAAGTGATCCATCATTTACAGAGGGAAAGAGACATGAGCGTTCTATACCTCAGCGCACTAGGACCGGAAACAAGGACCTTCCTGTTGGACGAGTATATCGAAACTGACGATGCCCTTGCAGCTCTAACGTCTTGGCCGGACGAAGCAACACGATCCGGATGGCAGGATCCCGTATTTCTTTCCCCTGAAGCGCTTCTAGCGCACATATCGCGTCATAGGCAATTTGTAAATAAGCTTCAGTATGATATTTACAATGAAATAGACTTCTATAATTTTATCATTGATACAATGTTGTACTGGTTTACGAAGACCGTCACTAGAGACACTTTTGCTACTGTTTGGCGAGATCTGATAGCTTACACTAAAATCACAATCGGAAAACAAGACGTAGGGGTCGAACGCGCGCTAGGAACGTATTTCTTTGTGAAAGGGGGCTTTAACAATCAAGACGCGTTCGAACTGTACAATAGGAGAGTACATAAATTCCGAGCCTTCTACTACACGGCCCACATGTATTCTTCAATGGTAGACAACCTCTATAAAGAAGGCTTTTTCAGTGCTTCTTATAACGTCACGGAAACCATCAATAAATATAGATTTGAAATACAAAACTCTGAGGAATACAAGCAAAGTCCAAGTGTACTGAAAGCACAGAAGTGGTTTGACAATATGACTATCTATATGGACGCACTTCTGGGAATACAGGTTAAACTCGGGAGCGATATCATATCTCAGATCAATGAAAAGCTAACCGGGATCACAGAGAGCATAGCAGTCAGCATCAGCTGTCTGGTAATTGTTTTGTGCGTCTGTCCATTGGTGGTGGTTTCCACCAAGGCTCTTACGAGCAGTATCCAAAACTATGCTGTCATACTCGTCCACAAGACGAAAGAACTCACAAAGGAGAAGAAAAGGACCGACTCGCTTCTCTACCAAATGATACCTAAATCAATTGCTGATAAGCTCAAGAAAAATGTTCATATTGATGCAGAATACTTTAAAAGTGCTACGGTATTTTTTATTGATATCTTTGACTTTAACCGACTAGTGATGGAGAGCTCCCCAATAGAAATAGTGGACTTACTGAATGCTGTCTACAAGAATATAGATGAACACCTGGATAATTTTGATGTTTACAAGGTGGAAACGATAAATGATTGCTACATGGTATCCTCAGGTAAGTAGTTTCCTTCCAACTTCATGTTGTAGTTCTTTTTTATGTTTCGCTTCCATTTCTATTATTTAATTATAGTACCGTTTGTTCGGAATGAATGATAAATGCTACATTGTTAGTTTGTTTTAAAAAAACCAACAAAAAAAACCCACTTATTTTGTGAGCTTTCGAAAACGTCTGTTTCCTTTGCCAATTTAATTATCAATATTTTGAATATCTAATTGACAAAATTCAAAAAATCCATTTTAGGCGGATATTGAAAAAGCTGTGTAAATATTCACATCTTAAGTTTTGTTTGGTGCCTTTAAGTGTTTTATTATATGCAAATAAACGACATAAAAGTGATAATACTATTCCTGGATCTTAGCGAATACCTTCATTGCCGTATCTATTTTTGGAAAGATATTTAAAAAACAATGTATTTTAAATAGTCATTAATACTTTATTGAACATGCAGACAACTTGTTATTAAGGATTACCAAAAAGGAACCGGGATCGTCATGTGATCGAGATAGCCAATCTTGCTTTGGTTCTCCGCGCCATGGTTCTCGCTAAGCCGTTTGTGCTGTCGGGTGACAGGGAAATAAAACTTCGCTTTGGGATGAATACAGGTGAGCGTCCGTGAAGATGATATTGTTGTTAGTTTGGTATTGGTTATATCATCATAGAACGATCTGCTAAAGATTATCATAAGAGAGGATATATTTTTATTGTGATGACGTAAGTGATTTGTAAGTGGATTTTGAGGGCATATCATTTGACAAAAATGTCAGTTAAGGATATCATAACACGAGTATGTTATTATGTGAGATATATCACTTGGGGAAGTCATAGCGATACAATAGGCTCGGGTATTATTTTGCTCAAACCATGAGCATGGGATAGTTTTCTAATTATTTGGGTGGGATGTTATTTTAGAGAGGTATTATTTTGAGAGGATCATATTTTGAATATATTTTTTCACTTGAATTTTCACGGATGTGTCCGTATGTATGTACAATGTTAGATTGAAACCGTTACAGAAAAATTTAAGTACTCTTGATGAATATGAAATTGATGATATAGCCAAATGACGTAGCATATGCTGGTTTGTTTTGCCTTCTAACTCGACTTGCTTGCTATCTGAAGAACGTCTCTTCATCCGTTTGAGTTTCATTTGCTCGGGATTACTTTTAATATATATCTGTTGACGAAGTTGTAGTTTTGTGGGGTAATCATTTAAATTTGAATTTCAAAATTGGGGTATTATGCGTTTCTGATGCTGCAATTTGGTGTTGATGTTATTTCATGAAGATACCGTTTTATATGGAACAGTTTTAAAGAAGAATGTTAATTTTTGTCCATTGTTACCAAAACTGACACAAAAATCCAGTACGGCGTCATAGCCCGACGTAAATGGGAAACAATAATTTCAATTAACTTATCTAAAGACAGATTAAATGTAATCTTCTAAATGCAAAACGTGTATCCTGCTTCACTTTACTGCAGAGCTTCGTGCTTCCTGCAATGGTTTCGAACATTAATACTGTCCTGATGTTTGGACTCTGAACCCATATACCGACTGATGTTACTAATGAATAAGCAATGTAAGGAAATATGTAAAAACCTTACCAAACATTACTCAACAAATTTGAATTGACAACAGTCGAAAGGCTTTTGGCTATGAGTCAGGCAAAATATATTGATTGAACTGTGACAAATATATTTGTTCATTAAATTAACTCAGTATGATACAAGATTCATCAGAAAAAGAGATAACCTTGTTTTATGTATGTATTGTTAAAGGGCCTTGTATGGCCGGGGTGGTTGGACTCACAATGCCACGGTATTGTCTGTTTGGTGATACTATCAACACAGCATCCAGAATGAAGTCTTACGGGAGGCGTACGTATACCAATAACCATTGATCACAGTTTAAATAAAGTGTATAGCCAACGGTTTACTAAGGTGGAATGCTTATAAGGTATTGTTTATATAAAATAATGCTTATAAAAAGTATATTTGATAAAGTGCAATTGTAGAATGCTTATAAAGGGTTGTGTTTATCAGGTAGAATGCTTTTAATCTAATGTGTTTATAAGGTAATGTATACATACAATAGAATGCTTATAAAAAGTGTATGGATAAGTTAGAATGCTTATAAAGTGATGTGTTTTTAAGGTAGAATGATTATAAAGCAATGCGATTTTAAGATAATATACGTATGAAAAAGAATATTGATAAATTAGAAAGCATATAAGGTAATGTGTTTATAGAGTACATGTAGCATGAGTAAGAATGCTTATAAAGCAGTATATTATAAAGCAGAATGTTTACAGTGTAATGTATTCATAAAGTAATGAGCGTATAAAGTGTTACGCCCATGATGTATGAAAATAGTGTATTTATAAAGTAAAATGCTTTTAATTTATTTATAAAGCAGAATGCTTTTAATATAATGATTTTGTAAGGTAACATGCTTTTGACGTAGGGAGTTGACGAAATCGTGTTTCTATTAACCAGTGTATCCATTAAATACTGTGTTTGTTAAGTAATGCGTCTACCAAAAGGAAAGGTTTTCTGAAATCTTTATTTAGTCTTGTTGCATCTGCAGCCAACAGTATACATGTAAGTCAGCCGTCCTATTCCCGTCTGATGAAGTATGGTTATTACATTATGAAGAAACGGGGAAGCATTTTTATCAAGGTGAGTATTTCTGTGTAGTACTCTTTAAAAAACATAATTGATGACGTAATTTGTAAATAAGAAAATAATATCACTCCGGGAAAGGACATCGTCTTGCAGAAATGAACAATTATTCAACAAATTTACCGTGAAGTGTTTTGAAGCCGTGTTCATTTCCAACTATACCGTCGATACAGTATGTTTTGCTGATCTTCCAACTATGTTCTTTGCTAACTTGTGCAGTATCTAACAAAACAAATGTTCGTTTTCTCTGTCGTAATTTCAATGTTGATTGTCACCAAATTTCCGGGTGCGAGTATGGAGAAAAAGAGTTAACCATTATGTAGGTGTAGTCGATGGTGAAATTCTACTCGAGGTTGTAGAATTCGGGTAAGAAACTAAAGCCACGTTTATGTTCGAAATTCATCACTCTCGAGTAGCATTTCGTTATTCAGCATACCTTACATAATGATGAACTCTATTTTGAGATACATGATTGACGGTAAAATAATCTGGTGAGGGCATCAACATGATGTAAAATATACACTTAAGAAGCCACGATTGAATCTCGACTGAAATTATGAAATCATATTATATTGGACTTCACCAATATAAACTGGTTGACGCTTGTTTGTAATGTTAACGAGAATTCATTTAACATGATGATTTTGTGATGATATTTTTCATTGATCGTCATCATCATTTTGTACAAATGACGTTGTCTTAGTATGTTTACTGTCTGACTTCAATTTCCTTTTCATAATACTTAAAATATGATTTAATCAATTAGGTTTTATTCGTAAAACTAACCACTCGTTGAATCTTAACATTCATGACTACATGTACATCATGGATTAGTTCCTATGATGGAGAATCACAAAATGGCACAGCTGGTAATTCAATACGTCGCTATTTTAAATCAATATGTCGTGTAGTGTTAATTTACTGGTCGATCAAATCGTACGTTTAACAAGCAACTCTCCATTTTAATGGATGATTAGGTGTTTAACAGGAGCAATTATTGTACAAAAGTAGCTCAAGTTTACTGCAGATCAGTAAGCTGACAATTAAAGGCCAGGTTCTTATCGCCAAAGTACCCATAAAGATCGTCTTTTTTTCACGAGGCTCGGGGTAATCGCCTCAATTTACAAATGTAATTACACTTTTATAAGGTGCGATTATCAGTACACCAATGTATGTAGTTTGAGTAACATTTATGTGATGCCTATGATTTATCACCTTAGTGATACATATGGTTATGCTAGTGTATGTCTTCTATATTGTCGGATCAGTACACCCGTAAACTTAATCTATTATAAAACCACTGATTATGGCGTCAGTATGCACATTTATTTTCATTATCAGAAGGATTGGGATTATTATTTTAAAATACAAATGAAGTCACACAGCTATATTGCATGTAGACTATCGCCTTTTTGAATACGTATCGTTGCACTATTACAAGGCCTGAGGGTTATCGCCTAATTGCACTTGTATCGTTACACTATTACAAGGCCTGGGGCTATTGATTTATTGCACTCGTATCGTTACACTTTTACAAGGCCTGAGGATTATCGATTGATTGTACTTGTTTCTTAACACTATTACAGGGCCTGGGGATTATCGATGTATTGTACGTGTATCATTACACTATTACAAGGACTGAGGATTATCAATGTATTGTACCTGTTTCTTAACACTATTGCAAATCCTGGGGATTATCGATGTATTGTACTTGTATCATTACACTATTACAAGGACTGAGGATTATCAATGTATTGTACCTGTTTCTTATCACTATTGCAAGCCTGAGGATTATCGCGTTAATGTACTCGTATCGTTACACTATTACAGGCCTGGGGATTATCGCGTTAATGACTCGTATCGTCACACTATTACAGGCCTGAGGATTATCGCCTTAATGTACTCGCATCGGTACACTATTACAGGCCTGAGGATTATCGACCTAATGTACTCGTATCGTTACAATATTACAGGCCTGAGGATTATCGACTTAATGTACTCGTATTGTTACACTATTACAGGCCTGAGGATTATCGCCTTAATTTACTCGTATCGTTACACTATTACAGGCCTTAGGATTATCGCCTTAATGTACTCGTATCGTCACACTATTACAGGCCTGCGGATTATCGACTTAATTTACTCGTATCGTTACACTATTACAGGCCTGAGGGTTATCGCGTTAATATACTCGTATCGTTACACTATTACAGGCCTGAGGGTTATCGCGTTAATATACTCGTATCGTTACACTATTACAGGCCTGAGGGTTATCGCGTTAATATACTCGTATCGTTACACTATTACAGGCCTGAGGGTTATCGCGTTAATATACTCGTATCGTTACACTATTACAGGCCTGAGGGTTATCGCGTTAATATACTCGTATCGTTACACTATTACAGGCCTGAGGGTTATCGCGTTAATATACTCGTATCGTTACACTATTACAGGCCTGAGGGTTATCGCGTTAATATACTCGTATCGTTACACTATTACAGGCCTGAGGATTATCGCCTTAATGTACTCGTATCGTTACACTATTACAGGCCTGAGGATTATCGCGTTAATGTACGCGTATCGTCACACTATTACAGGCCTGAGGATTATCGCCTTAAGGTACTCGTATCGGTACACTATTACAGGCCTGAGGCTTATCGACCTAATGTACTCGTATCGTTACAATATTACAGGCCTGAGGATTATCGACTTAATGTACTCGTATTGTTACACTATTACAGGCCTGAGGATTATCGACTTAATTTTCTCGTATCGTTACACTATTACAGGCCTGAGGATTATCGACTTAATTTACTCGTATCGTTACACTATTACAGGCCTTAGGATTATCGCCTTAATGTACTCGTATCGTCACACTATTACAGGCCTGAGGATTATCGACTTAATTTTCTCGTATCGTTACACTATTACAGGCCTGAGGATTATCGACTTAATGTACTCGTATCGTTACACTATTACAGGCCTGATGATTATCGCCTTAATGTACTCGTATCGGTACACTATTACAGGCCTGAGGATTATCGCGTTAATGTACTCGTATCGTCACACTATTACAGGCCTGAGGATTATCGACTTAATTTACTCGTATCGTTACACTATTACAGGCCTGAGGATTATCGCCTTAATTTACTCGTATCGTCACACTATTACAGGCCTGGGGAATATCGGCTTAATTTACTCGTATCGTTACACTATTACAGGCCTGAGGATTATCGCGTTAATGTACTCGTATCGTCACACTAGTACAGGCCTGATGATTATCGCCTAGTTGTACTCAAATTGTTACACTGTTTCAAGGCCTGATGATTATCGTCTTATTGTTCTTGTAACCTTGTTGATTATTGACCTCATAAAGATGTATGATGGCAGATTCGATGAATGTGAATTTAAAACAAATTATGCGTTAGTTTGTTGAAATTTTGGCATGTTTTCCTCATACATTCTATCAGAACATTTGACTGTTCTACTCAATAGCATATAATGTATATGAACGTCTTCCTTCTTTTATATAAAGAGTTCTGATATTCAAGGAGGGTAAACAGAGATATAAATGTACGGTTGCATACAGACATAGATCAAAATTAAATACACCTGACGATGAAGTCCTGAGACGCGCTTAGTTCCTGACTGATATTCAATTTTCCTTTGGAGACAAGTTTTGCACTTATGCAGATACTCATATAGGACCACACTAAATGTGCCCTTCGTCTATCTTACTTGTTGTTGTTTTTTTTAAACTTTTCACTGAAGTTAATTCGACGATGTGCTGTCTTTAAACTAGCAGAAATGCATTGTCCACATCGATTGTACTTTAAATCAAGGACACTACAGACTATTCGACATCAGCTGTTGTCCTTGAACCTTACTCACATAATTACTTACAGGGACGACTAACTACTAAGCTTAAGACGATTTTGATCTTCCGATCGTATACTTTATCTTTCCTTATAGTAGCATCCATGATTCTGCGGTATTTACATATCACCTTTGATTCGGAATATAAGAGCTTGCTTTTAAAATCAAGATTTCCTTAATCGATATCCACTGCTTACAGAAAACACACCACATAGCATAGAGTGTGTTGCTTCGTTGTCACAAACCCGGCTTTCAATTGGAGGACGTGACATTACTTACGTTTGACCTAGATTTAAAAGGCGGGTGACGGTAGATGTAGTAGTAGATGCTAACCCTTCCGGAATGACTTGTCTTAATGTCCTTGTACACTAAACCGTTGTATGGTCACCTTTTATACAAAATGGCGTTATCAATGAGTGTAGCGATAAAATGAGGAAAAATAAGAAAATTATTGGAAAAAAAAGAAAGAAAAGCCGGACCTTCAAATATGTTTGTGTTAAGCGAGACGGGGAATGGAACGATGGGCATTATAGGGTCTCCATGTAAAGTTTTTCCTTTTTTCTTAATTTACATTGAGTTTTATCGGTTTAAAGTTCGAATTACGGTTTCGTTCATTCATTCAAGCATATTTTATTGGCACAAAATAGTAAATGGGATTGGGCACAAGTTCTAATAACTTACTAGGCCCTTTCTCTACGATTTCTTTCTCGAAACTCTGTTGTTTGATGGAACAGTATGCAAATGTTTGCTATTACCTCATTTTGTTGTTATTTTAGGGGAAAGGGGAGATGGTAACCTACTGGTTAATGGGTAAACAGAGTGAAAGTTGCCAGGTCATGGACGTGGATGTCGAATCAGCAAACGAACTGGATGAAGCTGTCACCTATAACGCCATGCCAGGCGAACTTACACAATACGATCAAAGGCACCTGACCTCCGCTCTCACTGTCCCATTACCAGGCAGGGTCTATTCCAGAAAACACGTTCACAGCAAATGCGGTAAGGTGTCGCCACAGATTAAAGGCATACAAGAACATAAAGACACAGAGGTAGAATGCCTAAGTCAGAAGAACCAAACATATACATCTACGATGGATGAACCTTCTGATGAAGGAAATGATGGGTGTCAAAGGAGAAAGCCCGTCAGACAGCAATCGGGAGTTTCAGTAGAGCAGAAAGAGGCAGAAAATAAAGATGAACCACTGCCCACCACGCTAGTATCAGAATATATTGACGAACCATTGCCCACCTCGTTAGGATCAGAAAATAAAGGCTCACAAATTTCGATCCAAATGGAAGAAGTTGACAAAGACGAAACACAGGTACAGCAGATCGATGTTTTGCATGTCAACAAATCGGAATCACGTAATGAATCAGTTTCTGAGGAGACTCTGAAAATTAGCAATGAAAGCACATCTGACGTAGATAATGGAGCCAAGGACATAAGTCTTTAGTCACACTGACCATGCTGGATACATTATCAAAAGATTGTATGGTGCATTTGAAAAAGACTTTGCAATTTTAATGAGGTTATATCACTTTTAGGTAATTGATACATTCTGTAAATAACCAAAGAAAGTAAAGATTGACAAACAATTGAAATCTGACAAAATGGAAGTTAAAATCTTGTAAGTCTAAATAAGAAAGAGAAAACTAAATGGTCTTTTATATTGTTTTCATCGAAGCAAAGGTTTTATTCCAAAATTGGTCCTTTTGAGATAAACTTCAAGGACACTCTGCAATACGCAAAGCCGGAATATGCTCCCCAGGGAGTTGAAAAAGATATTGGCTGGTTGCTAAGGTCATATAGCCACTGATATTAATTTGCGAATCTCTTACTATGTTGTTATAAAGCGGTATATAAGAACGTAGAATTATTATTATTATTATTACTAGATATTGTTTCAACTAATGTTCTGTTTATTTGTTTGTATATAGGGAAATTTATCAGTATTTATAACGACTATTAAATGTATCACTGACATATTTGTGTTATATATAGGGAAAGACTCTTTCAAATTTGTGTTACATGCGTCTACAAAAGTGAGGGTATAAAGTTAATTTAGCAGTACCTATAATGTCTTTTAAATGTACCACTGGTTACTTTTAAAAGCGTGCTAGATGCCTATAAACGTACTACGGATGGTTGCGATAGGCCTACCAATGTCAAATGTGTTCGATCTCAAAAAGATTTTTGCATCATTTTATTAAATCTTGTCAACAGTTTTTCATGTATGTATATATATGTATAAACAAATTTCAGCTAGCGAATTGTGAAATGTTAAGTGATCTTAAGTATGAGAGGTTACTCTATTTTTGTACTTTAAACTATATCCTGAGACCCCTACTAATAGTTCACTTTTTGTGCATCAATATGCTCAATAATTGCATTGGTTCGACGTCGTCAAATTTTAACATTTTGTGGTATTTTGAAAGGGGACAACTGCAGATTATGTTACTCAATTATTTTTTATTTTTTTTGTTTTTACAAAATGTCGATTAAATGAATAAAAGAAACTTGGATAGATATATTTCGTATTCCCTACCAATTCCCCAGATCATTATACCTTATCATAACTAAAGATTTTGGAGATCATCTTTATCCATTTTTTACCTCCGGAAATAGTTATACTCTTATTACAATTTTTTGTGAAATTTTGTTTGTACATGCATACATATATAATTGCAAAGAGGAACATTTACAAGTCGGATATCCCTCCAAACTTTTTAAACAAAGTGATCCTTACATGATGTGTCTGAATTGCACTGGAAATCATATTATTGTTCAATGTATTATGATTTTTTTGCTGTGGAGAGAACATACATGCACCATACATTAAATAAATGTCCAAAACTAGTCGAATATCCTTTTATATCATTTATACAATACCATATTTTACACTGGCTAGAGCAGGCATGTAACGTTTGGGATTCATTGTCTATAACTCGCTCTAACCATCTGGTTAGGTTCGGTGATACGTAGACAGAAGTTTTACTGGTTAACAATCATTTGTGAAAACCCCCAACCTATTAATCTAATTTTGAATATCTGTATATAATATGAGTATTGCAAAGCACATCTTATACACTACGTGTACTAGATTCACACCTTCTTTCTTGAGTGTTTATTTTCATAACACATATTTGCTATAAAACAAATATACGTTATAAAAAAGAAGCAAATATTACCTTCACAAACTTGTATCAACGCCAACAGAACTGGTCCTATTATCTCATCAATAACACTGTCGATGAACAGCATATTGTTTTCTTCGTGGTAATATAGATTTACAATATATACACGAGAGACGTTATCATTATAAATGGGAATATCTTTATGAAGATATGGGAAGTTGTGTGGGAACGCTTTTCAATATTATTGTTTAATGTAAGTTGTGTGATATTGAACACCAATTACTGTTAATATTTTTTATCACGGATTAGTATTGTCTTCCGAGTATGGGAGTTTAAATGGAAATCAAGCGCTTTTCCCCTTTAAATGCGGTATGCGTATTTATTAAGAGCTGTGCTAAGTATCCGCCCTTTCAACAATTTTTATTATATATAAAAATATTATTTTAATATATTAAATAAGTTTGCACCGTTGTTGTAAGGTTTGTACAATATATATATAGAAGACGGCTTTAATTTTAAAACTGGTTTTATCTTTAATAACTCGCTTTATTCAATAACTAAAAATAACAGTTATATATCCGTCAAAATTTTGCAAACAGCCTCAAAGTGTTTAAATATACACAAGTGACATGGTTGACTACATTGGTTTTAGACAACAGAAAACATCCAAGTGTTAATACAGGTCTTCAATAGACATATCGTATGTGCCCGAGGTATAGCACTCTTGTAAAATGTGTAATTCACATTCATTATTTGTCGTCGAATATTTTATTTCTCTTTCATTTCTATTAATAAATGCTTAGATTTATTTGGATTGGAGTTTCCCCTGATTCCTACAGAATAAATGAGATTTTTCTTACACGACCTTTGCTTTGGTCACTCATATGGATGCAAGTAGCATTTCCATTCATACTGAATGAATCATGGGGAAAATGTTGTTTCCTTTCTTATGAAAACTACAGGACTGACTTGCACATATTTCCTGTAATATAACAGGAAACTGGACACATGTCACATAGATATTGGTTTTTTTCAACATGTGTTATTGCTGTAATTAAACATGTCTACTAATTAATGTCTTTCCTTGAGTACTTTTTTGTTTAGCAGTATTCTGAAGTTAAATGTTGTGTTTATTAAATTCCTGCTAATAGAATTACAAATATTGCTTTAGGATGTTTGCAGGTCTTTACACTATTGATACAATTTTACAATAACATCTGTTTATTCCATTTTCGAAAAACACGTTGCATTTCTTGAAAAACTTAATCACAGATTACTGTTAGACAACTATTGCTGAAACACAAACCTATAAATACAACCATATTTGAAAGTCTTGCAAGAAGATCCCAAAATAACTAACTATCAATATGACATCCAACTTGTGACCAAAGCTTATTTTGTACACATAAAAATGTGTAATAATAATAATAATATACAACATTTATATAGCGCCCTATATAATTTGTAAAATTACTCTAAAACGCTTTACAACATATGGATAATAGTAATGGTTATAATAGTGAAAACGAAAAAAATAACAAAGGCTTGCAATCACTTTTATAGATTTATAAGCAAGCAATGTGCACATAATTGAACAAATAAAAGGGTGGTATTTACATAACGTCTTTGCAACGATTCTAAAATGCAGACGTGAAGAGGTGAGTTTTGATGTCCCTCTTGAACTTTGCCAGGTAATTGGACTTTCTAATTGCAGATGGTAAGCTATTCCACAACGTAGCCGAAACCCTTCCAAAGCATCTGTTTCCGTAGGTCACAGTACGAGATTTTGGGACACACAACAAAGATTCTGACTCCGACCGCAGTGATCGTGACGGCTGATACAGGGTAACAAGCTCCTGTATGTACTGAGGAGCTGTTCCATTCAGTGCCTTGTATGTGTACACCATAACTTTGTACTGCGACCTGTATCTTACAGGTAACCAGTGCAACGAATAGAGCACAGGTGTGATGTGCTCTCTCTTTCGAGTACGAATAACTAGCCGTGCTGCAGTGTTCTGGACCCTCTGCAGACGACTAGTTAGTTTGTCAGATATACCACAGAGCAGGGCGTTACCATAATCCAACCGAGAGGTAACAAGTGAATGCACCAAAATCTTGCATGCATCTGCAGTTAAAAACTGCCGAATACAGCCGATGTTCCTGATCTGGTAGTAACAGGATTTGGCAATAGCGTTCACTTGTTTCTCCATGTTCAGTGAACTATCAAAGTATACCCCTAGGTTTTTAACAGCTGGAACAGTCTCAATAGTTCTGGCACCGACCTTGAGCTGGAGAGCCATTGTTTGCTGACACTTTGGGGAAAAGACGGTTAGTTCCGTCTTTTCCTGATTAAGCTTAAGCATGTTGGCGTTCATCCAGATACTGATGTCTGTCAGACAAGCTTCCAGACTTTCTGAGACGGTATTCCAGCTGTCCTGTGGTTTGATGACCATGTAAATTTTGTGTGTCATCGGCATAGCAATGATAGCGAAGGCTATGGCGACGACAAATCTCTCCAATCGGTTTGGAGTACATATAATATATTCGTGGTCCTAACATAAGATAAGTAAGATAACATAAGCATATCATCGAAGTAACAGGATTACGACATTGAAATTTAAAGTCTAATAGAAAAAAGGATCAGCAACGAAGGAGGAAACAATAAATTAAAAGCAATATATTAACACATCAGTGTTTCAGACATCATAAATGATATCACCAAAACCTCGGGCCAGAGCTGGTGACAGCATCAGTGCTGTCCTGTAGTGACACACCTATTGAGAGAATGATCCTCATCAATAGTGACATTTGTGGTTTGTAGTAGTAGTAGCAGTAGTAGCAGTATACAATGTAGGACAGGAAAGATTTGAACGGTGACAACTCAGCATATTACACTAATTAAAAGGAAATGTAGAATCACAGTATTAGCAGTATTATATAAGTCGAATATGAGCATAACTAGGATGATAATACCATCGTCCATCATATTTGTCTCAAAACACTCGTTCTAATTGTCGATATTTAGCAATCAATTAGTCAGCATAAAATGATATTAACAGGCAGAAATGTTCATTTCAAAACACAACATGAATATTTTTTGATCGCATCTTTGAAGAATTCAGTATCCAAGAAAGCGAAGGAGTTCTTCGAATCTGATAACAATAAGTATAAATATTTCGTTTGTTTAAGGAGCCGCTTTACTACAGTGTTCATAACATAGAATGTATGCTGACAGATTTTAGGAATACAACTGCAAATTGAATAAAATTTATGCCAAGTGACGAAGACTTACGATAACGAAGTAATTCAAAAGCTATAA